CTCAAAGTTTGATTGTACAATCGTTTGGATCGATGATCGGCAAAAATTACGTAGACTTTTGTCCAGTGAGTGTACATATTATTCCAAATTGACATAAATACAACCTATTGATTGTTCAAAGCATAAAGTTACTATCAAAACTGTAATTGCTAACAATTTATATTCAAAAGTTACACACAGGATGCTTGAGGATCAAAAATAGTAAATTTTGTATGTACATTTATATAATACTTGTTCATTATATGTTCTATTCTTTAAATCTACACCATTTCACTATACAAAAATTAGTGAAAGGAATAGATCAGAGCTTAATAAAATTCTTACTTAGTAGGAACTTTAAGCTTGCCAAATACCCCGTTTCTTTATGAAAATTGTATGTATGCAGAAAAGTATACTATACGTCTTGATCGCAACCCGTTTAATTAAAAAATATTTCAGTTTCAAACAGCGACCGAATTTACTATAAATAAATAAAGCTTTACAGTTGTCATAAATTTTAACACGTTAATATAAACTGCTAATGTAATAATTGCTGATTGATACATTAATTAACAAAAAATTTTCAATTGAGAAACAGATGTACATTTATCAATTTGCTGTTAAAGCAAAATCTTATGTGCAATTCTAAATTGACATAAATATTGACATACAACACTTAGCAGTTTGAGTCAAGCACTCTCAAAAAATACATAACTGACATTGCGAATAAAATTTTTTATCTAATCTACATATTATTCCAAATTGACATACAACAAAAATGACTGTCGGTGAAATGACCTGTCGGTGAAATAATCCTGTCGGCGAAATGACCTGTCGGCGAAATGACCTGTCGGCGAAATGATTGTCAGCGAAATGATTGTCGATCAAATGATTGTCGATTAAATGACCTGTCGGTGAAATGATATTGTCGGCGAAATAGTTGTCTGCAAAATACAACGTCTGCGAAGTGATTGTCGATGTTGTGATCGTCTCCCTTCAGAACTGTAGGTATGTCATTATGTAGTGCTCAAAAGCTTTCAGACAAGCCAAAAAAATTTTGGACATTAATACAGAGAATGTGGTAGAAAAATAGTATTAAAGATTTTATATAGTGATTGCTTTATTGAAAGTGCTGTCTTTTCTCTCCCGTTCAACTTTTTGACATTAACGCATTGACAGTTTTCCTCCAACGTCTGATGTTGTGTTTTCATTACCTAAATTAGATATCAGACCTAAATTTGGAAAGTGGACAAAATGGGAACATGAAATGAATAGGGCCATAGTAAGTGACACCAGCAAAAAAGTCCGTATAAGGCAAATCCGTTATATCGACGGTCCGTTATTATTATATCGACTTTCACTGTGCACAAGGCCAAAAAAGTAAACTTTTTAGAAGTAAAGGTTTGCGTACTTCAGCAGGCGGTTCGACTCGATATTACGCTGTTGAAGAGAGACTTAAAGATGGCGAGTTTAAACGGTTCAACGTGAACAATGGAAGTACTAGTGAAAATTTTACAAAGCTTTTGCTCATTTTACATGTACGCATATAAGTATTTAGTGGTTTTATGATCTGCAAAGGGTCGAAAAATGGACCAGTTCTTGCTAACAGATCCCGCAATACATGGTATATTAATTTCGCTAAAAGTTGGAAAGACGAACTCACTCCTTATCTGGCAGTCAGTCTGGGGGTGATAAGATCCCTGGACGTGAGGATAACAGCCCAGATCATCAACTAAGGTTGGGCGAAAAGGGAATCAACGAGTGTTTTTTGGCGAGTCACAGGCGTAATGGTATTTGTAGAAATTGAAATTAAAACGCTAGCTAGCATATAATTTATTGGACATGATCAAGTGTATTATTTATTACATGTATTTAGCTTATGTGCAAGTTTAATATTATAATACGAGCATGGTTGATTAATATCAATGTTAGTGACGTGTTCATATTTTAGTTCTATGCGCAATTAGTAGTTTGTACAGCATTCTTATATTATTATACTCGATGCTGTTAGAAAGTTACATTTTGCATGGTACAAAACAGCGATGGACAAACAACATTCTTATTAATCACTTTACTATTCAGATATTAAGAAAATTAACGACCCTTACAGTTAAATGAAGAGTCAATTACATTTAATCAAAGAATCCTTTGATGATTTAACAAGTGATTGGACAAGTATCTGAATAGAATTGCTCCTCTAACACAGTTACGAACAACAGAAAGACCAATATATTCAACTACGACTGCCTGTAGGACTCTTATTGTGCTGGAACAGTAACTGGCTCAGCAGCAGTGCCCAGAGTTTGTCCAGTCTGAGCATCCTTACATGCTACATTATAGGTGCCGGCCGTAACAGATACTGGGATTACGGCGGTCACTTTGACGCACGCCTTAGCGAGCACGTGAACTGGAACAATATACTGTATTAGCTATTATTTCCAATCGATGCTAGTGATAACAGTAATGGTAATATTACTCACCCGCTACTACTACATCAGCCACACCATTGAGCAGATTAACAGTTACAAGCGCATTCGCGATAATCTTTACGGGACAGAGCGTGACTTTCAAATACACAACAAGGCCGACATGAAGCACTGTTAAATAATTATTTATGATGAAAAAATTTAGCGGAGAAGTTACCGGGATTGAACGTGTTAATATAATAGACGATAATAATTTTAATCACAATACTGATAAATGACAATTAGACATTTCTTTTAATCTCGGCAAATCTCATATTTAAGAAATTGATTTAATACCTAAGGGGTCCAGAACCGCAACGGCGGTGACGGGTGCTGGGGCTGGTGGGGCTGGTGGGGCTGGGGCTGGTGGGGCTGGGGCGGGGTTGGCAAATGCACCAACGACAAAGATAAGCAGGAAAATCAAATAAGCAATAGTCGTACGATTCATTTTAATGATTGAATAAAGCTGTATTCAGAGCGCAGAGAGAGATATCAGAAGACAAGGATTTGCTGAATCGGAACGTGGAAATCCTGCTGTTTAAATATCTTTTTTACAGAACTATGTACAGTGTAGAAACATAGTGTAAATCATAATGCAAAGTTTGTCACAATGTTTACATGCAAGATTTAATTACTTCGTAAATAAGCTGAATTATTTTCAGATCAATGTACAGTGTAGAAACATAGTGTAAATCATAATGCAAAGTTTGTCACAATGTTTACATGCAAGATTTAATTATTTTCGTAAATAAGCTGAATTATTTTCAGATCATGTACAGTGCAGAAGCATAGTGTAAAATCATAATGCAAAGTTTGTCACAATGTTTACACGCAAGATTTAATTTTTCGTAAATGAGCTGAATTATTTTCAGATCAATGTACAGCGCAGAAGCATAGTGTAAACTCATAATGCAAAGTTTGTCACAATGTTTACATGTAATATTTAATTTTTTCGTAAATGAGCTGAATTATTTTCAGATCAATGTACAGCGCAGAAGCATAGTGTAAACTCATAATGCAAAGTTTGTCACAATGTTTACATGCAAAATTTAATTTTTTTTCGTAAACGAGCTGATTTATTTATTCAGATCAATGTACAGTGCAGAAGCATAGCGTAAACTCATAATGCAGAGTTTGTCACAATGTTTACATGGCAAGATTTAATTTTTTCGTAAGTGAGCTGAATTATTTTTAGATCAATGTACAGTGCAGAAGCATAGCATAATGCAAAGTTTGTCACAATGTTTACATGCGAGGTTTATTTTTCGTAAATGAGCTGAATTATTTTTATGCGAAAATTTCATTAGCGCAGTATACTGTAAAGGTTGGGGTAAACTAATGCCGCTAAAACAACAATAAACGCGCACAATTTGTTTATATGCTCTTTTAATAACCTTTTCAAACGTTACTAACACTTGTCGCATGAAATTTAACGAAAATTAGAAAGAGTGCAATCAAAGGAAGCTCAGCAGCGATCGGTTGAGTTGATCAATAATCCCTTTAATACAATAAAGAAAAAAATACACTTTAAATAACAATAAATAATGCCTACGCTATTAAAATATACATACATAATGACTCTCGATGAGATAAAATATGGCATGATAATTCTTTATTAACCAATTTGCTTAGGTTAACTATTTAATAGTTCTTTCTTGTCGAAAGTTTCTCTTAGAATAATCTGAGATGCCTTATCGCTTCCATTAGTTGAACGTAAAAAAGTTTACACACTTAACAAGATTAATGGAAGCAGAGTCGCAACACCAGCTGTACATTATCCTAAAAAAAAAATATCACATCTCTGTAATTTTTTGCTTGCTGAAGTACTTTTTAGAATAACCCACGATTACATTGCAGATATTGTAGTGCAAGAACGAGATATCCTATATACTTAATGCGTGTACAAAAACTGCTTTAGTGGAGCATTTTTTTGATAATGACATGTTTTCAACAGTTTGCTTTGTCTTATTAGCTTATAAACCTGCCGTAGTAAATTTAGTTCAGGATGCACTCAAGACTAGTTATCTTTATATAGTACAACCTACTGAATTAGTATTAGTCGCACGGAAACTTTGTGAATTTACGATATGAACGAAAAATATTCGTGAGAATTAATGGAACAAAACTGTACATGAAAAAAGAAGAAGAAGAAGAAGAAGAAGAAGAATAATAATAATAATAATAAGAATAATAATAATAATAATAATAATAATAATAATAATAATAATAATAATAATAAT